AAGCACAGGTAAACATCTCTCTGATATTCGTTGCTTTCAGACAATATCCATTGGACATCAGCAATGATATCGCTCATTCCACAGCCTCTTCTGAATCTGGCTTGAACCTCTGGAAGTTCTCTGTCAATGTATACTTGCAGCTGTTTCTGTACCACCTTTAGTAAAACTTTACTCACTGTCGGCGTCTGACCTCGACATAGTTGTCACGAGTGTTTGGTTCACGAGGAGGGGAGATCCAGCAGCGATAGGGATAGTGAAATAATACACAGACAAACAGAAGAAGGGAAATAATGAGGCACCCCAAACCAGGGTGGATACATCACTGGTGGGCAGGCTTGGGACTACAGGCATCATGGCCTCTGCAGGCAGCAACTCACTGTCCTGCAATCTTTACTGCATGCCTTCCAACCCGTAATGCACTGCAATCTTTACTCCATGCCTTCCAACCAGTAATGCACACCTGGGGAGGCTCAGGCCTCTGCTTTATTCAGGGGAGGAGCTTCACACCAAGCGGGGAGGGATCTTTACAGAAGAAGAATGGTATTATTCAGACAAGACAATCTTTAAGATAAGTTAAGCCAGTAAACCTTACTTAAACCAATATTACTTTCTTCCTTACTGGGTTTAACCTTCACTTGGATCAAACCGATTGAACCCAGGGTGGTCCGAGGGCGTTGTCCCCATTGTCCTTAATCCCTTATTCCCAGAATTTACTGCTCCACCCCAAGTGAATATACCCCGGGCAGTTCCTCTCCAGAGCCTCCCTGCTTAATCCCAGTAAACCTGTCCTTGTTCGTCCTCTGAGGAAGTTTTACTGCCTTGGTTCTAGGGGGAAAATCTTGACCTTAGAAACTTAGGGGAATATTGCATTTCTCTGTGGACATCCAGGGCTCATGTTTGGAATTAAATAAACATGACTAAACAATTTGATGAAAAACAATTTGCTATTAACTGCCAAGTGGCTTCATTTGTTACACTCGGGCCTATAGGGCCTTGAACCTCTGACCAGTCTTACACGGTCCGCAACAACTCACATGGTATATCAAAGAGATTGTCCAATGATTTCCTCGTTCTGCTGGATCACCTCTCTTTAGAATGGGCACAAATATGGATCTCTTCCAATCAGTCAGCCAGATAGTTGGCTTCCAAATTTCATGGTAGAGTGAGTGTCTTCTGTGCCACCTCACTTTTTAAAAAAATATTTCAATTTTTATTCCATCAATTCCTGGTGCCTTGTTCTTTGCCAATTCTTTCAATGCACCTTGGATTTCCTCCTTCAGTATCATTGGCTCTAGATCATAAGCTACTTCTTGAAATGGTTGAACATTAACCATTTCCTTTTGGTACAGAGACTCTGTGTATTCCTTCCATCTTCTCTTGATGCCCTCTGCGTCATTCAATAATTTGCATAGAGAATATTTCAATAACAAAAGTCAAGGATTGAATCTTTTCTTCAGTTCCCCCAGCTTGAGTAATGCTGACCGAGTTCTTCCTTTTTGGTTTTCTGATTCCAGATTTTTTGCTGATGTTTGAAATTTTCTCTTCAGCTCTTGTACCTCCTCATTTCTTCCACTGGATGGATGCTGAATAGTGGGCCACATAATGGATGAAGGTCCGTGGCCTCCCAGAGTAGCATGTGCAGCACAGCAGCCCCCTGCCCAAGAACAAAAGACCAAAGGCAGCCCAGCCCAAGTAGATGGAGGTCCCCAACCCCCCCTTTTGGCCCTCAAGTACCAGGAGCTTATATAAGTCATGGATGATGGTGTTGGGTGTCCAGGGTCAGGGTCACTGAGATGATGAAGATGATCCCGGAGGTGAGTACCAGGTGAGCCTTGAAGTCCTTGTCTTCCACACATGTAGTACACTTGGCCTCTATGAGGTAGACCAGCAGGCCAATTAGGGCTACCAGGAGTGCAACAACGCAGAGAGCATGGGAATCCTGCAGGTCCTGGGCCAGTGCATCATACACCTTGCACTGCATCTGTCCTGTGCTTTGCACCATGCAGGACATCCACACCACCTGGGCCACCATGATGGTGCTTCCATCATTCAAATTCCACATGGATAGAGTGCAGGAGACCAGGGTATAGAGCCAGCCGAGTATTGTCAGAATGATTCTCAGGATCCGCAGACCAGCAAAAGCTATAGAGAAGAACTGAGAGATTTGTGGGAGGTGGCAGAATACAGACTTAATCTCTTGTACTTTGAGGGAGCCGTCCCTGGAAAAGGAAACTTGGTAAAGTGGAGGGTCAGCAAAAATTAAGAAGATCACCAATAAGATGGATTGGCATAGTGAGATGGATTGGCAATGAGATGGATTAGCTCCAGCATAACAATTGTGATGGCACAAGACTAGGCAGCATTTTCACTCCGTTGTACATAAGGTCACTATGAGTTGGTGCTGATTTAACTTCACCTAGTTCTGGTGTGGCACTGTGGGTTAATGTGCCAGACTGCAAAGCCATTTGAACTGCAAAGACGGCTGTTCAAGCTCATCAGCTGCTCCTTGGAAGCCCTATACAGGGTCGCTATGTGTTGGAATCAACTCAACAGCATTTGACAACAACAACAACAACTACAACAACAGGAAAATTCTCTCTGACAACATGTCCAAAGTATGAGAGAGAATGTCTCACCAGCCTCACTTCTATGGAACATTCTGACTGTACTTCTTCCAAGGTAGATTTATTTGTTCTTCAGTATTCTTCTATAATAGCATTATTCAAATGCATCAGTTATTCTATAGTTTTATTTATTCATTGCCTAACTTACACATGCATGTGAGATGATTGAACATAACATGACTTAGGCCAAGTGCACTCTAGTTCTCAAAATGACAACTTTGCTCTTCAATGCTTTAAAGACCTCTTTTGCAGCAGATTTGCGGAATGCAATATGTCGTTTGATTTATTGACTGATATTTCTATAAACACTGATTGTGGATCCAAGAAAAGTGAAGTCTTTGACAATTTCTATCTAGAAAAGATAGAAATGGTTTATCATGATATTATTTATTGGTCCAGTTGTGAGCATTTTGATTTTCTTTTCACTGAGGTGTGATTCATATTAAAGGCTGGAGTTACTGATCTTCATTTGTATTTCAAAATCTCTTTGCTTCCAGCAAGAAATGTCTACCATGGACTCCTGGTGTGACACTGTACGATCAGCACTGGACTATAAACAACAAGGTTGGCAGTTCAAACACACCAGCTGCTCCTCAGAAACCCTATCTGTAGGGTCTCTATGAGTCGGAACCGATACTACAGCACTAAACAAATAAAACAAAAGCATATATACATGCTTAAACAATTCACTACAACTACAAAAATGTCTATCCTGCCAGTTAGATGAAAAAGAAGAGTCATTTAAAATATGGTAATTTAATCTTCATCTGTTTTTACTTTTACATGAAAGTCTTGTAATGCCGGCACCTTTTTAGGCATCACAAGAAGTTGCATTCCTGTTGGAAACAAGTTTGAATTAAAAGTGGTCATTGCACTAATGGCCTAATTATAAGTTTTCTTCTTTTATCCAGTTATCTTTAGGATTGCTAATTTGGCGCCACAAAATTTCAATTAAAAGTTAGATGTGTCCCCTTTTCTATGTAATTGTGAAAGAAGCTCTAGTTGTATTATAGGGTAAGCACTGGACTGAGGAGTGCATGGCTGGCAATTCAAATTAACTAGCCACTCTGAGGGAGAAAGATGAAATTTTCTGCTCCCTTACAACGAGATATATTGGCCAAGTGGCAGCATCAATGTACTTAGGTGTGGCAACAATAGTGAGGTTGGCCCAGGATTGGGCAGTGCTTCGTTCTGCTGTGCATAAGGTCGCTATGAGTTGGTACCGACTCGATAGCTCCTAACAACAACAACAATGGTTTACAGCCTTGGAAACCCTGTATAGGGTAGCTGTTAGTAGGGATTCATTTGATGACAGTAAGTTTTTGATATTTTGATAATTATGCATTTCCCAACTTTACAGTTCTATTTCAGAATATATAATTATATAGTTAATTGAAATACTCTAATTCAATGCATTATTATCTGTAGATGCTAACTTGGAATTGAGACATATATTCTTCAGTACCCAAGACTACTCTTCTTCCCTTTATTCCAGGGAGTCTACATCCTTCCCATTTTCCTGGTCTTATTTTATTTTCCCATTATAATTCATGTCAAAGGGGTCATACACTGGTCTTTACAGGAATATGTGCTTTTTAAAATTGAATGTGCATGCATACATACACACTCAGGCATATATACAAAGAAATATATATACATGTATATATATATAAATGTATAAACATGACTTTTTTTTTAAAGAACAAATTAGCAAAATAAAATTGTGGTTTATTGTTGGTCAAAACTGTTTCACACATTCATCAAACAGGCCAAAAATAAATAAATAAATAAATAAATAATAACTTCATAGACAAAAAAAAGTAAAAGAAACCTTTTTTGGCCTTCTCATACAAACCAAGTACTTATAGTACAGCTAAGTACATACACAAAAAGAGTTCTTGTAATGCTCGGAATAAGATTGTAATTTTTTTGTTGTCTTTGCTTTTTTTTTTTTTTTTTTACAAGGTTTTTCTTTCTCCTTTGAGATTATAATGAACATGATCACACCGCAAGTAAAGTCAGAATAAGGACAAAGAACGCTCCAAAGTCAGGTTCGGTCATCTGAAATCATTAAAAATGGCTGACAAGATATACAAAAATATAAAATACAAATAAAAAATGCAAACAAAAAAATACAAAACAAAACAGGGCCTTGGAAATTTTGGTTCTTTTTTCTCCCCTATTGCATATTCACGTTGTGTTCTTGGTTGGGTAGTGGTGAGCACATGTTATCTGCCAGTGGTGTGGCAAAGCCCAAAGTGGGCGGGTGGGACTCTCTCTACTTGCAGGTGACCACGTTTAGATTCTGAGATGGGAAGTTGAGGGTGAATAGATCATGGTGGCCTTTTTTAAGTTTAACATTTCCTTTTCTGCTTTCTAGTTATCCTTGTTGGTATTCTGCTTCTTGGTGTAAACATCATCATCCTCATCACCGTCAGCTTCCCATTTATGTTTAGCTATCTTGGCTTCCTCATGGTCATCTCTATCTTCTTCCTCACCATCACCTTCTTCCTCTTCCTCATCTACCTCATTGTCAGCTTCCTGTTCCCCATTTTTCTTGTTAGCATTCTCATTAGGTGGTGCATCTCTTCCATTCTCTGTTTCCTCTACAACCTCCTTCTTCTCTTTTAAATCCTTGGTGATCTTGGAGCTGGTGTCCTCAGCCTTGCATGACATGGTGGGACATGCCAGTAATTTGATACAGAGGATGACAAAGAGTGAGCAAGTTGAGGGACTCTAGTGAGAGAGCTGCTGGAGTTTGTGGTGAAGGAGGAGGAGCATGGTGGAGGTAGCTGCAGCGAGTGGGGAGCCGGACAACGAAAAAATACAAAGATGGCTTTTCAGAGCAGCCCGTGGTGTATACATTAATTTTTATGTATCTATATCAGAATGTCTTGGTGTGGTACTGTGGGTTAATATACTGAACAGAAAAGTCAGTTTTGGTTGCAAGGTTCAAGCTTATCAGCCGCTCCTCAGAAACCCTATACAAGATAGCTATGGGTAGGAACCAACTTGAGGACACTTAAAAACACCAACAATCTGTATCAGAGGAGTCCTGCTGTGGCACTCTAGGATAAGCACTGTACTGCTAACCACAAGGTCGGCAGCTCAAGCCCAAAACTATGAATCAGAACGGACTCAATGACACTTAACAACAACAAAACTCGATATCAGAAGGAACCCCAGTGCTTTAATAATTGTTTGGCTACTAACTTCCATTTGATAGGTCAGTGGTTTGAAATCACTGCAGGAGAAAGACGTGGCAATCTGCTTCTGTAAAAATTGTTTCCTTGAAAATCCTTGGACAGTTCTAATCCATCCTATAGGGTATTTAGGAGTCACAACTGACTCAACAGCAATGAGATATCTATCTTGAATCTGTCTGTCTCTGTGCCTGTCTGTTTGTCTTTCTACCACCTGCCTGTCTGACAATCTGTCTTTCAGACTGACTGTCTATATGCAAAATAATAGTTACTATTTGTGCTAGAAAAATCATAAGTTGAAATACCAGAATGATGTGAGAAAATTACTCTCCACCAAATTCATCACTTACATACTGCAGAATCAAGCACTGTATTTTTTAGGTTCAGTTCTCCAGCTGAGTTCTGGGGTAGACTGCAGATTCCATAAAGGCAGGTGTCAATGACCATATTAGTCATTTTGCATTCCTACTGTCTACTACAATATCACAGTCACTGCCAAAATAAGAATTTAAGCTTGTTGAATTCATAATTTAAATTTAAATACAATTTTCAATCACTTAAATTAGAATTAAAAATTAAATTAACATATAATCTCACCAACTACTGGCAACCACAGCTAATATTTTAGTGTATTAATTCTGAGTCTTTCCCCTCTATTTCCGTACTCACTCAGTGGCAAAATTAGAAAGGTGTAGGGGTGCAGACTACAATAATTTTCTTGTCAAATTTTTGGGATTTTCTGTGAATAGGATCTTAACATCTACAAATCACACATTTTTGTTTCTTTTTTTGGCAATTTGGAAGCCTTTAATTTGCCTTCCTTACTTTACCGCTGTATGACTTCTAGCACTATATTGAATAGGAGCTGTGATAAAGAACATCCTTGTCTGGTTCTCATGTGCAAAGGGAATGCTTTCAATTTTTCTCTGCAACAAAGACTACTGTTGCTCTTGGTATATATGCCTTTATTTGTGTTGAGAAATGTCCTTTTTTTTTTCCTATTTAGTTATGCATTTTTAACAAGGATGGGTTCTGGATTTTGTCAAATGTCTTTTTGGCTTTGGCTGATAAAAACATGTGGTCCTTTCCCTTTGATTTACATCATGGCTTACATTGCTTGCTTTTCTAATGTTAAACCATCTTTACATGCCTAGTACAAACCCCCCTTGGAGTCCTGGTGGGGCACTGTGGATTAATGCACTAAACTGCAAAGTCAGCTTGAAAACTGAGCAGCACTTAAAAACTACAACAATCTCTCTTGGGTATGCTGCATTAACGTTTTTAAAAGGATGTTGAATTCTATTTTTCTATTGGTTAGGTTTTGTTGCTAACCACAAGATCATAGTTCAAATCCACCAGCCACTCCACAAGAGAAAGAGGAGTCTTTCTGCTTCCATAAAGATTTGTCGTTAGGTGCCATCTAGTCAGTACCGACACATAGCAACCCTATGCACAACGAAATGAAACACTACCTGGTCCTGGGTCAACCTAACAATCGTTGCCATGCTTGAGCCCATTGATGCTGCCATATTTCCAATCCATCTCGCTGGGGTTCTTCTTCTTTTTTTCTGACCTTACCAATGACAGTCCTTTCCAGTGACTGGTGCCTCCTGAAAATATGTCCGAAGTATGAAAGACGAAGTTTGGCCATCCAGGACTAAAAGGAGCACTCTGGGTGCACTTCTTCCAACACAGATCTGTTTGTTCTTTTGACAGCCCATAGTATTTTCAATATTCTCCTGCAACACCATAACTCAAATCCATCAATTCTTCTGCAGTCTTCCTTATTCACTGTCCAGTATTTGCATGCATACGAGGCTATTTAAAGTACCATGGCTTGGGTCAGGTCCACCTTAGTCCTCAAGCTGACATCTTTGCTCTTCAATAACACTTTAAAAAGGTCTTATGCAGCAGATTTGCCAAACACAGTACGTCTTTTGATTTCTTGACTACTGCTTCCACGAGTGTTGATGGTTGATCCAAGAAGAATGAAGTCCTTGACAACTTCAATCTTTTCTCCATTGATATGAATGCTGTCTATTTGTTCATTCCTCTTATGAATCGTGTTTGAACCTCTGGATGTTGTCTGTTGTATGCTTGCAACCATTTCTGTATTACCTTGAGTAAAACTTTAAGTGCATGAGATATCAAAGATATTGTCCGATGATTTCCACATTCCATTGGGTCACCTCTCCTTGGAATTAGCACAAATCATTTGTCAAGATAGATTCCAAATTTCTTGGCATACATGAGTGAGTGCCTCCAGTGCCACCTCACTTTATTGAAAGATTTCAGTTTTTATTCCATCAATTTCTGATGCCTTGTTCTTTGCCAATTACTTGAATGAATCTTAGACTTCTTCAATATCATTGGCTCTTGATCATATGCTACCTTTTGAAATGGTTGAATATTAACCACTTCCTTTTGGTACAATGAATCTATGTATTCCTCACATCTTCTTCTGATGCATTCTGCATCATTCAATAATTTACCCAGAGAATCCTTCAAAAACGAAAGTTGAGACTTGACATTTTTCTTCAGTTCCTGCAGCTTGAGAAATGCTGAGCATGTTCTTCCCTTTTGGTTTTCTGACTCCAGATCTTTGCACATTTTTTTTTATATTTGACTTTGTCTTCTAGGGCTGACCTTTAAAATTTTCTGTTCAGCTCTTGTACCTCCTCATTTCTTCCATTTGTGTTAACATCTCTACACTGGAGAGCAGGTTTCAGGTCTCTTCTGACATCCATTTTGATCTTTTCCTTCTTTTTTGTCTTCTTAATGACTTTTTGGAGCTCTGGTAGCGTAGTTGTTACAAATTTGGCTGCTAACCTCAAGGTCTGCAGTTTGAGACTACCAGCGGTTCCGCTGGAGAAAGATGAGGTGTTCTGCTCCCTTAAAGATTTTTAGCCTCAGGAACCCTGTGCAGGGTCACTATGAGTCGGAACCGACTCCATGGCACTTAATAACAACAACAATGACTTTTTCTTTCTTCCTGAATGATGTTCTTGATATCATCCCACAACTCTTCTGGTCTTCGGTCTATAGTGTTTAATGTATCAAATCTGTTCTCCAGATATCTCTAAATTCAGGTGGGATATACTCAAGGTTGTATTTTGGTTCTCGTGGACTTGTTTTCATTTTCTTCAGCTTCAGTCTAAATTTACATATGAGCAATTGATAGTCTGTTCCATAATTTGTCCCGGGTCTTCTTTTGACTTCTGCTGATATGGAGCTTTTCCATCGTTTCTTTCCACAGATGTAGTCAATCTGATTTCTGTGTATTCCGTCTGGTGAGGTCCATGTGTATAATCATTTCTTATGCTGTCTACAGAAGGTATTTGAAATGAACAAATCATTGGTTTTGCAGAATTCTATTATGCATCTCCAGCATCATTTCTATCACTAACACCATATTTTCCAACTACTGATCCTTCCTCTTTGTTTCCAAGCTTTGCATTCCAATCACCAGTACTGATCAATACATCTTGATTGCATGCTTGATCAATTACAGATTCAAGAAGTTGGTAGAGTTCTGTTTCATCTTTACTGGCTAATACCACCAATTAATAGTGGTGTTAACTGGTCTTCCCTGTAGGCACATGGATATTATCCTATCACAAACAGTATTGTACCTCATGAATGATGTTGATACATTCTTTTTGAAAATGAATGCAACACCACTCCTCTTAAGTTTGTCATTCCCAACATAGTAAACCAATTGGTTGTCAAATAAGAAATGGACAATACCAGTCCATTTCAGCTCACCAAT